GTTTCAATACATGCAGTTCTCTAGTGGGGAATAAGCAATTTGATGCCATTCTGTTTACTCCTTCCTGGCTCCAATCAGGTCTTTTGGGAATATGTCCTCATTCAGTGTCTTTCCGGGATAGTTAAACCTTCAGCTATGAGAAGGCAGCCAAATAAAGGTCCTTGAATCTGACAGAGTTGACCCTGTGTTCCTCAAAAAGAGCTTTAGGAGGCCAAAGCTTCAGAATGAGTGGTTCAAATAAAATGAAACAATTTTACAAGAAAACCAGTACAAAGAAAGACCATTAAACTCTCAGCCATCTATCTTATTACAGATGGTCATGACATATTTTGTTATGCGTCTGTGGAAGGCAGAACAATGGGTCCTAAAAAATGTTCACATTCGAATCCCTGAACCTGTGACTATGACACCTTGCATGGCAAAAGGGACTCTGCAGATGGATGTGATTAAAGTTAAGGACCTTGAGGTGGGGAGAGGAGCTTGCGTTATGCAGGTGGGTCCAATCCAATCACTTGAGTCCTTAAAAGGAAGAAAACTTTTCTGGCTGTAGAGAACCAGACAAATGGTGTTGCTGACTTTTAAGATGGAAGAAGGGGCTTTAAGAAGCTGGAGAAGTCAAGGAGAGAGACTCTCCCCTGGCACCTCCAGAAAGGAACGCAGCCCTGCCAACACCCTGATTTTTAGCCCAGTGAGACCTGTATCAGGTTTCTGATTTACAGAACTGCATGATAATAAATTTGTGTTGTTTTAAGCACTAAGTTTGTGATAGGCTGTTACAGCAGCAAGGAAAACTAATAGGGCATCTTATTCTGATTATAGCTTTTCTATTAGCTTTGCTTGTAAGCAACAGAAACCAAGTTGAGTTTCCTTAAGCAAACAAACCAAGCTTTTCGGGAAGCCTACGGTGTCTCAGGGAACCCAAGGCAGGGCAGCAGTGAAGCTGCAGAAAGGTCGTAGGACCGTAGTGAAAGCTGCCACCCGAAGCGTCCTTCCTCTGCCCCTTTTTTTTCTATGCCTCCGCACCCCCCATCTGTTTCATTCTTCTCTTTCTGTAAATAGACTTTCTCTGCTACTTAGTTCATAAAGTGTAAGAAGGCTGAGCCTCAGTTTCCATTTGCTTCTCTTTCTTCACCAGACCAGTCAGCTCAGGCTGTGACTAGAATCTCGTTCTCAATTCCAAATCCCAGGAAAGGAAGTCTGGCATGGTTTGCGCTAGGTGCCTGTTACAGGTTGAATAGTGTTTCTCGTTCCTCCTCTCTAAAAGGGGAGCCCTGACCCCCTGAGTAACCTAACCCCCTCAGTACCTCAAAATGTGACTTCACTTGGAAATAGGGTCATTGCAGATGTAATTAGTTAAGATGCGGTCATACTGAAATAGGATGGGTCCTTATTCCAACACGATTGGTGTCTTTATAAGAAGAGAAAATTGGAACACAGTCACAGAGGGAAGACTGCCACGTGAAGATGGAGGCAGAGGTTGCAGTTAAGCTGCCACAAACCAAGGAATGCCAACCAAGGTTAAGGCTCTGGAAGCTTAACCAGAAACTGGAAGAGGCAAGAAAAGATCCTCCCCTAGAGATGCCAGGGGAAGCATGGCCCTACCAACACCTTGATTTTAAGTTCTGGCCTCCAGAACTGTGAGACTATAAGTTTCTGTTGTTTTAAGCCACCCAGTTTGTGGATCTTTGGAAAGTAATGTAGTGCCTAAGACTGATCCGGTTAGCTCTGTCTGGGAGACCATGTCTTACAGTACAAATATGGCTCCTTAAGATTCACCCCTATGGCTTGAGGGGTAGGGGACCTATTTCCAAAGAAGGAAGAACCACTGTGGGCTGGGCAGGTGCACTGAAAAGCTGTCCACTCTAGCTCCCTACAGCTGGGATCAATATGATATTCCAACTTTTATTTTTTTCTTTCTTTTGTTTTAAAATAGTTATTTTAGGGCGCCTGGGTGGCTCAGATGGTTAAGCGTCTGCCTTCGGCTCAGGTCATGATCCCGGGGTCCTGGGATCAAGTCCCGCATCGGGCTCTCTGCTCCTTGGGAGCCTGCTTCTCCCTCTGTCTCTCATGAATAAATAAATAAAAATCTTTAAAAAAAAATAGTTATTTTACCCTCTAGAATGCAATCTAGTGTATGTGACAGATGAATCTCAGTTGCTTCTTTCTCATACCGTAATCTACTTGTCCTAACATTATTAGTGATCACCCCTTCCTCTCATCACTGTATTTATTAGTCAGTGAGTACAGATGGTTGAAAATGCTTCTGGAGTATCTATGCTATTCCATTCATCTGACTGATTTACCAGGTTCCTGGCGTGGTAGTGAGAAGACTCTAGAGGCTTAACTTCCAATATAAATTCTAGAGCATGGTTACTCCCCACTTTATCTCCTTCTCTAAGTGTTTTATCTATGGCAATTTGGAATATCTAATTACTCTTAACTTATTTTTTGTGGGGAGAGAGTATGGTTTACAATATGTTCCTGACCTCTTTAGAGCAATGGCCCAGGGGAACTCTTCTGGTAGGTTTCTGTGTCCCCTTTTTGAAACTGGACCCTGTCCCTGTTTATGTATCTTCTCTTTTGGGATGAGAACATGTCAGAAAATAGCGTATTAAAGGACCCTCATATTAAACTTGCAATAAATGTGTGCCTGGCACACAGTAAGCACTCAATAAATGTTAGGTAATTTTTAGAACCAAGGCCAGACAACGCCCACCTCAAGCTCTTCCTAGGATTCCCTCACCTTAAGAGATGCATGAGAGTGGGAAGGGGGTATCATAGGCTGAATAACGACCACCCCAAAATGTCCATGTCCTCATTCCTGGAACCTGTGTGTTTATTACCTTACACGGTAAAAGGAACCTTATAGATGTGGTTAAATTAAGACTCTTAAAATTGGAAGATTATTCTGGATAACCTGGGTAGGCTCCATATAATCAGAGGGACATAGGAGAGTCAGAGTCTGAGAAAAAGAAGATGTGACCATAGAAGCAGAGGTTGATGTATTTTAAAGATGAAAACAGGGGCCAGGCAAACAAACAGCCTCCAGAAGTTGTTAAATGGATCCTCTAGAGCCCTCAGAAGGAACTCAGCTCTGATGACACCTTGATTTTAGACCAGTGAGACCCATTTGAGATTTCTGACTTTCGAAACTGTAAGATAACAAATTTGTATGTTTTAAATTTGAGGTAATTTGGTACAGCAGCAATACAAATTCAGAGGGGATCAGAATTTCATTGAACATTCTGCAAAATCTGCACTCTTGGACTCAAAGTCCCTGTTTACATAGTAGGGTTTGAGGCCCAGAGAATTAGTAGTACCTTTCTTGCCACCTCACCCCAGCCAGATTTTCACCTTCCTTCGGGCCTTTCTCCACACTTCTGTCGATCTGGCCTGACTTCCGCAGCCCCAAGAATTTTCTTCCATTCACCCAGCTCTGAGGCCTAGATTTGATAGCTATTCTAAGATACCGGCGTTAACCCCACCACATGTTTGAGACTAGAGTTATTAGAAACTGAAATTCAGGGAGCAAATCACAATGAAACATGAAATACCAGTAAGAAACCATTTTAAAAATTGGGGCATTTTCTCTCCCAGCATCAGGCCGAAGAGAAAGAAAGCTTGAGAAACTGAGAACCAGAGACACTGAAGAATGAATCTAGCTAGGAACGATGAACTGCAATATAAGCTTCTGCACTTTTGCTAGCGGCCCTTTAAGGCCCGGGACTTGGGCAGAAATTCCTGACCCTTTTGTCTAAGCCCAGAAGGCTAGATACCCTAAGACCTAAGCAAAAGTGTAGTTTGGAGTTAAGCAGTCTGGATTTGAACCCTGGTTCTGCGGACCACCATTCCTGTTCTCTTATTCCAAGAGGCCCCAAACGAGCCCCTTGCCAGGTGAGCTCCTCAAAGCCGGGGAACCGGGAAAGTGCGTCACCCCAAGTCCTAACCCAAACGATGGTCCGCGTCAGCATGAGAAGGAAAACTATAAAATGCTTTATAAAATGTGTCTTCGACACAGAGAAAGCGCGCTTTTCTTACTCTTCTCTCAGAATAAAAGGCCCTTACTTTTAATTTTTTTATTTGTGATGATTTAATTTTTTTCTTTCCGTTGTGTTACTAGCTGGAGCTAAACATTGGCTGGGGCCCCAGGCGGCTGCTGGAAAGGCGCCCTCCCAGGAGCAGAAGGCTCGTTTAGAAGAGACTGGGGGCGGGGAGAGAACTTGCGACTCGCTCTCTCCAGCGCCGTAGGGATTTTTTTCGAGTCTCTCTCCGGCCAGGCCAAAGCTCCCAGTCTGAGACCCCCGACAGCAGAGGGCAGCGAGGAGACTTCGGGGAACACTAAGCGCATAACCGCGTCTCGCAGCCTCGTACCCAGCCCCTGGCAGCCCAGCTCCCAGCTCCTCCCGGGCGGGGGGCGGAGGCGCCGGCTCCGGCCGCCGCGGGGGCGGGGACCACCCACAGCGCCGCGCGGCCCCGCCCCGGCCCCGCCCCCGACGCGCCCGCCGGGCCTCCCGGCTAGCCGCCCTCGCACGCTTCTCTGGGCGTGAGGAAGGCCCGCGCCCCGCTGGCATTTTTTTCTGAGTACTCCTTTAAGTACGGCGGGCAGCGGTACAAGCTCCTTCAGATGAAGATGGAGGAGGGGGCTGGAGGGCCCGGACTAGGGGTGAAGAGCTGGCCTTCTTCCTCCTCGTTCCCCTCCCCGCCCCAGCGGAGAGTGCTAGACTCTGATTTCCAGCTGTGTTCTTACCTACCCCCGTCCTGAAAGTTTTGGGTGGCCAATTTTAATTCAGTTTAGTTTGGGGAAAAAATTAACATCAGGTTTTAGGATAACATTACGCCGTTCCCAGGTCGAAACTGGGAATCTTTCGACCTAATTTAGACCGGGGGGGGGGGGGGGTTGTGGGAGGGGAGGATTGCATCTGGTTGAGGGAGATAGGGCGAGGGATGGGGCCCGGGAGGTATTGTGGTGTTTAGGGGAGTCTCCAGTCCCCGCCTGGAGAGAGGGCCCACCCGCTGCGCCCTTCTACCCCTCCCGTTCTAGTTGCCAGAATGGAAAATTCATGGAGTCCAATTTAGCGCAGGTCAACAAACTTTTATTGCCCCTTCTGGCTCCCCTGCCCCAGCAAAATCCCTGCTTCTTACACTGTAGAAATACTGAGCTCTGGTGCAGGGTAATGGGGGCGGGGGTGTTAACCTTGCCTCCTCTGCACACTGCCAAGGTTAAAGAAACCCCACTTGCTGGAGAGGGAGGGCCAGAGGGGAGGAATTCAAGGGCACAAATGGCTCAGTCCCATCGCTGCTGGCTGCAGAGTATAAAGACCATGGTTCCAGACCTTTTAAAAAAGGGTGGAGTGGGGGAGAGGGATGAATTTGGCTGCTGTTGTACCCCTTACCCTTGCTGCCATGTTTCCATGGAAATGAGGGAGGGGCAGGATGTAGCTCACTTTGACTACCTGGGGGGATGGCAGGGCAGCATTAAGTAAACGTATCGCTTTCCACTCCTACCCAACACATACAGCTGTCCCCAGTCGACCCCAAGCTCCCTGCCTGTTCCACTCCCTTCCCTCCTGGAGCTGGTATCCTACCAAGTGGACTCCAGGTAGGGCTGTTAGTGTCCACTCTCCAGCCAGGTCTTGCTGGCAACAGATGGAATCAGTATGTCCAGCAGGCTAAGTAAGTATCAGCCCTGGTAGAACCACTGGTTTAGTGCCTCAGTGAAAAGCAACACCTAGTACCCCCAAGACTCTGTGCAACTGATGTTTCCCAAACATCTCTGCCCAGACAAAATTAAAAAAACGACAACAACAAACCATAAACCCAAATGTGTAAGGTTAAAAATAATGCAAAATAACTCTAATAATGCCGAGGGCTAGGATGGAGGAGAGGGGGAGGTGCATCCTTCCTAGACTTGAGCCACCTGTGCCCCCTGCTTTCTGCCCAGCTGGAGTTGGCTTCTCCCCACTGGGCTGTCGCTGGGGAACTGGAATCCAAATTTCCGTTTGGTGCTGAGAGCTATACCCACTGCTATTGGTCGGTGAGGCTGGCCTGTCGCCATAGTGAGGAGGTGCGGGGTGGATTCTCAGTACCACGGGTCAGCTCGGTGCTGCTGGTTGTAGAACTGCAGCTTGATCTGATCTTTGATCTGATTCACAAGGATCTGGGACAGCAGGATTCCTACCAGCTGGGAGGGGCGAGATGGATTGGGCCCTCAGCAACGAGTGATGTCTTTGTTTTCCCTGACTCAATCTTCCCAGTATGGTTAGCACCATCCCATCCCCAGCTTCTTAGCAATGTCAGTGCCTGACACCCTAGCTGGTCCGCAGGTGCCCTCCCCTAAACAAAGGAGCCTTTGCAGAATTTTAAGACCCACAAGTCTTACAGGGTAAGTTACCTGGGGGATGGCCAGGCCCAGTGCTACACCACCAAGAAGGAAGAGGTTGCTGTGTATCCAGTTGACCAATTTGTCAATACAGCCATTGGTATAGATGACTTTACTAGCCTCCAGGTATTCAAGGGCCTGCATACCTTGGCCACACATGGTGTTGATCACTGCCTGGGGAAAGAGTTGAAAAGCCAAATGGAACTCCCATTCCCAAACTTTCTATTTCAGGTCCTAGCTTATGGTCTTCCCACCCTTCCCAAATTCCTAAATTGTTAGGGAATATATGTGGAGGATCCTAACTTGGAAGTTTCTAAATGCAAGCTTCCTTCCCTCTAGGAGATCTGAGTTCAGTTTCCCTTGCTTTAGAGACCTGCACCTTCTGAATCCCCACGTGGACCGCAGGAGTGAAAAGTTAACAGAGCCATTAGACTGGGGCAAAGAGAAACATCTGACAGCTGTCCTACAAAATTGATTGGTTAAGCTAGGGAATGGGGATTCCCTACAGTGGCTACCCTAGTCGGGAAGTAACTGAAATTGCTGCCCAGGAGGAAATGAAGTGGGATGTAGGCTCACCTGGTTTGGGGTAGGCAAGCAACAGGAGTAAGGCACAGAGCAGCGCTCACGGCTGGGGTTGTCTTCTGAACAGTTGAAGTACATGTTCTGGGACCAGTCCCTATAGGAAATCCCTCCACAGCAGCTGAACTGCAACAAAGCCCACCACAGAGGTTAAGAATCACCCACTCCTCACACTGAAGTGACCAGGGGAATTCTCAGAGCAGCCAAAAGTCCGTGGCCAGCTTCCATTTGTACATTCAGGCTGTTTTTAAACACAACCTTAAACCTTGAGCTCACGTCCCTCAGTGGCCTTTACCTTTATATACCTTGTTATAACGACCATAGTTGTATATATATTTTGTTTTTCACATTCAACTATGAGCTCCTTGAGAGCAGTTTCTGCATAGTATAGAGGCTGCAAAAGGAGGTGTTCAAAAACACTGGCTGAAATAATTAAAGGATCAGTGTTGAAAATATTTGTTTTAATACAGAGAAAACAGAAGAGAGTCTTCAATATTATGGGCCCATAATTACTCCATGAAAGCAAGTAGGATCCAAGTAAGTTGCACCAAGGGAAGGGGAACTCAGTACTGGTCTCAAAAGCACTTTTATTTAAAATTCAACTTTTGATTCATAGCAGCATTGTTCACAATAGCTAAACGGTGGAAGTGACCCAAGTGTGCGTCAAAAGGTGAGCGAATTAGCAAAATGTGGTGGATACATACAATGGAATGTCATTCAGCCTTAAGGAAAGAAGGGAACTTCGACGCATCCTGCAACATGGATGAAATTTGAAGACATGCTAAGTGAGATACGCCAGGCACAAAAGGACAAATACTGTACAGTTCTACTTACGTGAGGTCCCTCTAGTGGTCAAACTCATAGAAAATAGATGGTAGTTGTCAGGAGTTGGGGTAGGGGGAAATGGGGAGTTAGTGTTTAATGGATAGAGCTTCATTTGGGGAAGATGAAAAAGTTCTGGAGATGAATGTGGTGATGGATGTAAACAGTGTGAGTATACTTGGTGCCACAGATTTGTATACTTAAAAAGGTTAAAATGGTAACTTTTATGTTATGTACATTTTAGCACAATTTAAAAAACTTACCTTTTGTATAGGTAATATTTAAAAATCTGCCACTTCCTTATCCCCCTATAAGTAACCACTTAGAATAGTTTCTACATATCCTTGTAGATTCCTTTCACAAATATGAATACATATTCTTTCCTCTCTTTTTTTACACAAATGGTAGATTACTATATACACTACTGTTCTGTTCTCTTAGAAGTACTTTTAAAGCACTCTGCTATGTATGGTTTTTTGCCAAACCTCCTTCCAGAATCCATTACCTGAAAGTAATGAAGAAGTCCATAGGCCTGGAGGGTGAGGTGTCTCTTGGGATGGCATTAACTTTTGCCTACAGCCTCTGAGACCACAGCTGACCTCCCCCCACTCCTAGCCCATACCTTCTTCTGGCCAAAATCAATGAGGTTCTGTAGATCCAAGTCATCGCGGTAGTGCACAATGGCATTATTGATGATCTCACTCACTTTCCCTCGTGCCTGCCAGAGACATGAGTAGGGAATCAGAACACAGGACTAATCCCTAACTGCTCCTCCATTCAGGAATAACAGTAGACAGTGGTCATCCTTCTTCATGTAAGTCAGCCTTGAAATCAGAACCAGGTCCTAGGTTGATGGCCAGTTCCGAAGCCCATCCATCCCTGGGCCCTCAGGTACCAGTAGGCAAGAGAAACACAGGACCTGCTGTTGCCTCTTCTCAGAGCCACATTTTCGAGATAATCCAAGATTTATTTACCTCTGAACACTATTACCACAAAATACTTGTTGATGCAAAGCAGAGAATCTAATATTTTAGTAGAAAAGGGCTTACAAAACCGAGACACTGACCTCTAGTGGACAGAAGAGAACTACATCTCTTTAGACTCCAAACAGATCATTTTAGGATTTTACTAGGACATTCTGAATGAACTCAGTGGCTCCCCATTTCATAGTTTCCACCATGCTTTCTTCCTTCTTGCTCTGCTACTTCCCTCAAAGTTTCTTGTCTATAGTCCAATACTACCCCCTGGCAATCATTTGCTCTTTGAGAAAGGAATTCTGGTTCTTAACTAAAAGGACTGTCACTAAATAGCAGATCACTTCCAGCTATGGTGAGCACTGCTCAAAATCTCGTTTACTTTCCCCCTTCTTTCCTTCTGTTTATCCCAATAAGCAATGTTTAGAAGAAATAAAAGATTCTTCATGTTGTCTATGGTCTATTTGATAATTGTGTTTTAACCAATAATTTGCCATTAAAGTTTGCAGATTATTTTAACTTTGTGTTCATACAATTTATTTTCCTGTTGGCTTCTCAGACTGTCAGAGGAAAACACCTTACAATATGGAAATCTTCTTTAAATATGGTGACTTTAAAGGCCATTCATTCATCCCTAAGGAGAATCTTTCAAAGGCGGATGCTTCTCAGGGGAAGGAGCACTGTGGTTAATTAATCAGGCTAAACATAGGCAGGAACCTTCTCTTCTTCCCTCTGGTTCATACCTGAGGAGGCCCCTTGGCTCCCAACGTTACCTTGTCTGAGAAGACGAAGCCCAGGACCCCTGCAGCCAGCTGTAACAGGAACACGATGGTGAGGCAGAGTGAGAACTGTGGGGAGCAGGCAGGAAAAGGAGACAGTTGATTACCATGCTGGGCTCTAGCCCCTCCCAGGGCCATGGGGAGTACTGGGTACTGGGGAGCTATGGGGCACTTCTCCCAGGTGCCCCATGCATGATAAAGGCCTCTGCCTCCACCATGCTGTCTTGAGGGTGGCCACCCTGTGCTGGGTCATCTGGGCTGAGCTCTATAGTGGGGAGCAGACAGCACAAGCTTGGCGGGGGGAGGGGGGAGAGGTGCAGAGGAAACTGAAAGGTTGTAGGAATGGCATCAGGAGCCTGAGAGGCACATGGAGGAGGCTGGAGTCTTTCTGGTGGGGCCCCTGACCACTCACCGTCTGTAGGAGGCAGATGTTCTCACGAAGCGATCCAATACAGCCGCAGAAGGTGAGCAGGAACATAAGAACGCCCACCACAATCAGCAGGATGGCAGGGTCCACTGCCAGGCAGGCCAAGGCTGCTTCTGGGGGAGGGGCTGTCTCTCAGTCTGAGCCTGGTGCTGACTGAGAGTGATACCCAGGGACGAGGTGGGGGGTGCCCCCCAAAACTGTTCTCCTCTGCAGGGGGAATCTCTAGTATGGTTGGACAATGGTTATGGGGAGGCAGTGCTCCCCTCCCGTGGGAGAATAAAAAGGGCCCAGAAGGGTTTGTGACATTTAATTTGAGGAGCTAACAAAGTGAGAGCCTTTATTCCCAAGCTTAAGAAAGGAGGAACCACTTTCGCTCCAGAAAAGAATTAGAATGGCATTAGCTCCCAGTTTTGCAGATTCCGTTTCCTGGAGACTTTGTGCAGTAGAACAGGAATGGAGGTTGAGTTACTTCAGGACAGAGTGAGGGAGGAGCTGAGGCCTGGGATTACTCTCTGCTCCCAGAGGCCTACCTCCTTCCCTAGACACTTCCTAAGCCTAAAATGCAGGCAGATCCTGGGGGATTCGTGGGAGCTTAGGGAAATCCTGGTGAACTGGCATGGCCTGCCTGCTGCCTTGGAGCAGGGTGTTAAGATTGGGCTAGAAGGTTGCTGTCCTCTTTAGCCCCATTGCTTACGTGGGAAAGTGTATTAGAGGGCCAGGGCTGAAGGAAGCAGAGGAGGAAGAGTCATGGGGAGATGGAGGGGGGCCTATAGCTCACCTGCATGCTTCATGAGCCGAGCGTAGACTCCCACAGCCACCATCACCATGGAAATCACCTGTGGACACAGGGAATGAGGCAGACCCTGAGATTTTGGAAACCAGAGAGCCCGCTGTAAGTTACCTTCAGGAAGAACAGGAGGAAGACGACTTTCCTAGGAGCCAGAGATGAGCATCTCTGTCCCCTCAGCAGATACAGTCGATAGCATCTGTCTGCTTTGCCTCCAAGAAAAGCTTTTACCAAGGTGATCTCATTTGATCCCCACAACAGAGTTACCTTGCGGGGCAGCTATTTTCCCTGTTTTACAGATGAGCAAATTAAGGCAATTCAAGGTTACTAACAGTGGTTAAGAATGTGGACTTTGGATTCAGTCAAACCTGGGCCTCTGATAAATCACTGAGCCTCAGTTTTTGTACCTGAAGATGGGAATTTAAAACAACTACATCTAATAAAACTACCGTGAAATTAGATAATGCATGGAAAGCATTTAACATAATGCCTGACAATAAATATTATCTATCATTACTAATAGTTAACTTGTCCAGGGTCACAAGTTTTGAATTTGAATTCAACTACATCAAAGAGAAGGGTTTTGTTTTTTTTTTTAAGATTTTATTTATTTATTTGACAGAGAGAGAGAGACAGTGAAGAGGGAACACAAGCAGGGGGAGTGGGAGAATGAGAAGCAGGCTTCCCGCCAAGCAGGGAGCCTGATGTGGGGCTCGATCCCAGGACCCTGGGATCATGACTTGAGCCGAAGGCAGATGCTTAACGACTGAGCCACCCAGGCGCCCCAAGGGAAGGGTTTTTAAAAAATATTTTATTTATTTGAGAGAGAGAGAGAAAGAGCATGATGGGGGCGGGGGTGGGGCAGAGAGAGGGAGAAGCAGACGCCCTGCTGAGCAGGGAGCCTGATGGGGGGCTCGATCCTGGAACCCTGGGATCATGACCTGAGCCAAAGGCAGACACCAACTGACTGAGCCACCCAGGCGCCCCCAAAGGGCAGGTGTTAAAGCTGAAGCAGGCCTGAGTAGAGGCACACTCCCAAGTCTCTAACTCTCTTGGGGGTCAAAATGGTGTCAAATGCAAGAATGCAAGTGCATCCCAATGTGAAAGAATGCATGCATGAATGCATGTGTGTAAGTAAAATACCAGACTGCCTTGGCAAAGGAGCCTTTATCTTTATAAACCTGGATTCCAGTGTGGAGCAAGAGTTTAGATGCTTCAAACTTCCGGGCTCCTCTTTGAGAGAATAAACCTGTCAGGGACTACCAGCAATCCCCAAAGGGGCCTTTTCTGCCCCACCTCCATCCCCACGCCAGGCCTCCAGGAGTGCAGGGCAGCCCAGCGTTCACAACTCTTGGACACTCTTTCTTTGTGCCCAGTCCCCAGGCTGGTGCTAAGCTGCAGCTGGCTGTCACCATGGCAATAGCTGGGGCCAAGCTCTGGCTGGAGGGAGTTCTCAGCAGCAGGGACTTGACCAACTCAGTGGGGAAGGAGATGGCTGGCTAGACTCCACTGTCCTACAAGACAGAGACCAGCTGGAAAGAGCCGTCTTGGGGCTTTGGTGGGAGAAGGGAATAGGGCCCCTAGAGAGGGAATAGGGTCAGAGTAGTCCCTCAGCAGAAAGACATTTTTCCTTAGTGGCCTCTGCCTTCTGGTGCATTTAGCAGTAAATGGAAACCCTTATCTAAAACCGTATCTTTCAGGACTCGTCTCTGGCTATATACCCAGCCTTGCCCCTCAATCATTTGGCACTGACTCGGACTCAGGGCCAGATGTGTTATCTGCTGGCCCTTATGCTCTTTGTCCAGGAGAGAGGGAGCTGCTTGCAGAGCTGGGAGTGGGGCTGGAGGTGCAAGCTGGCTTATTGTCCCCCAGCACAAGCAGGCTGAGGGAGCAAGGGGGAGTGGGTGGGGAGGCGAGGAAACCACACGAAAGAGATCCCAGTCACCCCCGAGGCCTGTAGGCACAGCTCTTTGCCAGAGTGACTGAGCATCTTGGCCTGCCCTTTAAAACTCCCCACAGCCAATTAACGGTTCTGAATATCCTTTTACTGAATCACTGAAGGGTAGGCATCTGCTCTTTATTTCTGTTGTTCCCAGGCTCCTCACTGTTTTGCAACATGTTAAATTTTCACTAGGATGTATAACTTTCCACAGAGATGGTCTCTGATTAAATCCTAACACAGCTAAAACAAGAAAGAGAAAGTAAAGAGGTGCCACATCTCGCGGTAACTTAATTCCACGTGTGGACCTGTAATTACAACAGTTGCTCTGTCTTTATTTGCGGTAGGTAGAATAGTGTCCCCCAAAGATGTCCCGTCCTAACTCCTGGAACCTGTGAATATGTCACCTTCCATGGCCACAGGGGTTTTGCAAATGTGATTACGGATCTTGAGATGGGGAGATTATCCCGGTGGGCCTTAGAAACAGGAGGCCAGAAGGTCCGAGTCAGAGAAGGAGATCAGTATGACAGTGGAGGAACAGGTTGGAGAGGTGTGGTGCCAGCAGCCAAGGAAGATGGGCAGCCTCTAAAAGCTGAGAAAGGCAGGAAATAGATTCTCCTCTGGAGCCTCCAGAAGGGACCATCCCTGCCGATACCTTGATCTTACCCAGTGAGACCCATTTTGGAATTCTGACCCCCAGAACATAAGAAAATTAATTTGCGTTGTAGTAAGCTACGAAGTTTGTGGTAAGCTGTTAAAGCCACAGTAGGAAACTAACACGCAGTCTAAATTCCGTTCATCAGCTGCAATGCACAAGGTACTCTGAGGACCGCAGAGATGAGTGAGATATGGTCCCTGCCCTTAAGGAGACTGTAATGTTTTATGGGAGAGGGACAAGAAAAACCAGAGCCTATCCTTTCCAAACTTGGTGTCATTAGGATGGGCGGGAGGGCAGGGAGAGAAGAACTTAAAACTGTTGCTGTCTTGGCTGCACCCCACACCACGTATTTCAGAATCTCTGACACTGGAACCCAGGCAGCAGTACTTCTGAATGCGTTCCAGGTGATTCCAATTTTGAGAACCACAAGCCTAAAGCACGTTCAGCCAGGGATCTAGAGCAGCAGGTGCAGGTTCCATTAAAATTGAGATGAAGACTTTAATATTATCGTTAACATTTAATACGATCACTAATGACACTGCTTACCTGGAGCTCACTAGCTAACTCTAAAATTCGACATTTCTATCACTGATCTGCCTCTTTATCCTGGAGTCACAGCTTGCCCTTTCACACCCCTATTCCTGCCCACATCTCCCACCCTGAATTCTTCAAAGCTACTGTCGTCCCACTGCCGTTAATAGCACAGCGTTTTAGAGCTGAATAGAACCTTCGAAATGAGCTCAGCCACTCACCTCTTTTTATAGATGAGGCCCAGAGAGCACAGCAATACTTGACCAAGTGCACATGGGTACAGAGGAAACATCTGGACTAAACCCAGTTTCCAATCTCAGTCTGGAACTCTTTCCACCATATCAGGCTCTGCCACAAAATCCTTATAACACCCCGCAATATCGCCAAAGACCTCCTTTTGTGATGAGGATGGAGATAGACACTTCTTAGAATGGCTTTTCATATTCTGGCGAGAATGAAGCCTCACTGGAAATTTTTAAAAGCTAGACACAGTGTTTAAAATAGCTGAGTCTAGCAAAAGGCATGTTCCTGAAGAGTTGTCAAATTATATAAAATAACTTGCACGCACCAATACTTTTATCCTTATAGAAGGTGAGTAATCACCTTATAATGAAAATAGCCATCCCCTGGGCTCCTTGGGAAAATGGTTCAATCTACGACTGGAGCAGGAGATATACAAGATAAACCTGGGGTATCTCGTGGTGCCAGAAAGTAAGGAAATGCTCAAAAACAAACACTCCCCCCCACTACTGTGGGTATGCTAAAGTGACATCAAAATAAGTAAGTAAGAAATTATCACCCCAAACATAAAATAAATATCCATGAGTCCATACAGATAAAAAGGACTTAAATTTTTTTTAAAGAGGACTTAAATAAATAAACGAGGGAGAAAAGACAAATCTCCCAAATCAAGAGTCGGACGCTTAACCTACTGAACCACTCAGATGCCCCCCAAATCGAGGAAATTCTAATTCTGTCACAACCAACAAAAACCTAAGGAGACAGGACAACTAAATGAGATTTGGTATCCTGGATGGCATCCTGGAACACAAAAAGGGTGTTACGTGAAAACTGAGGAGATCTGAATAAAGTATGGACCTCAGTGATAATAACATTAATTGTCACGAATGTATACTCAGGTCACGAATGTATCATACTCATGTCAGATGTTGAGAGAAACTGGATGTGGGGTATATGGGGATTCTCTGTACTATCTTCTCAATCTTTCTGTAAAACTAAAACTGTTCTAAAAAAATGAAATCTATTTAAAAACAGCCATTCCCAATTTGTTAGGTGTTAGTTGGTTAGTAAATCCACAGTTTTTAATATCAGATTTTCCTAAACTGGGGATTCACTTGCATGCAATTTCACAAACTTTAATCCGGGGGGGGGGTGGCGAGAGGGTTGTCCTTACACCAAAGTATGGGGCAATGGATCTTTTTTTTTTTAAGATTTTATTTGACAGAGAGAGCACAGGCAGAAGGAGAGAGAGGGAGAAGCAGGCTCCCTGCCGAGCAAGGAGTCTGATGTGGGACTTGATCCCAGGACGCTGGGATCATGACCCGGGCCAAAGGCAGCTGCTTAACCGACTGAGCCCCCCAGGCATCCCCGGGGCAATGGATCTTAAAACAGTTCAGGTGTCAAGAGCACCACGAAGCTACAATGCTCTGTTAGTATAACCTATACAATTTTGACATACTAAATTCTTTTCTTAAACTTTAATATGCTATCACTGCTATCTAATTTACAGTCCATATTTACTTTTCCCCAATTCTCCCAAGAATGTCTTTTATAACTGTTTTTTAAAGATTTTTTTAAAAAGATTTTATTTATTTATTTGACAGAGAGAGACAGCGAGAGAGGGAACACAAGCAGGGGGAGTGGGAGAGGGAGAAGCAGGAGAGGGAGAAGCAGGCTTCCT